TTTTTCCTTAAATTTTCCTTTAAAATATTAAACAGATTTTTTAAATTAAGAGAGAATTACATTTTTCTATATGGGATTGTGACATGCCCTTGGTAACTGGTCATCCAATTACTGAAAGTGACCCAAAGCCATCTAATCTTGGGTTGGGTTGGGTTGGGTTAGGCATTGGTGGTGAGCCGATAACTTCTTTCAACATAAATCAACATCAAGCTATGTGGTTCCCACGACAAGGGCAAGTCAGGAAAAACTTGGCATGCGGCGTTCATAGAATCATCCCAAGGAAGAGAGATTATCAGCTTATCACGTTTTTCTTTTTCAGTACATCTACTTTTTTTTTTTCCTTTTTCATCTTTTTCCTTGATTAGTACAAGGTAATTTTCTACGGTATTGTTTAACATTTGATTCATCTTTGATCAAGTTGAACTACACTTTTCTTCTTGTATTTGGAGTATTAAAATGGAATTCTGCCTTGAAAACATTTCATCTTACATAGCAAAATAAACAAGTCTTATGGAAAGCTGTTGTACCAGTAGATGGTAAGAACTAAGAAGTTATTCTCAAATTGAATTTCTGTATATATATATATATATATATTTCCTTGAAAATTCTACAGTTTATAAGCTGGGGCAAAGACACATTGCCCCAGTTTTTCCATGTCCTAATCTGGATCTACCAACATTTTTAACGGGGTTTTTCCCTTAAAAGATCCAGTCACATTCTACAGGGAATTTGGCCGGATCATAGGCCATGGAATCATCATAATCCAAAGAGAAACTGCCGCCATCAATGGGAGAGAGAAGATCAATATGATTAACATTCAGAAGAATGCCCAACAACTGATCTTTTTGCTGCTGCAACTCCAACACTAGAGCTTTTGTTGATTCAAGCTGCATGGTAAGTTCTTGCACCATCTTTTGCAGTTGGAAAATTGCTCCAGTGCTACCATAAACGGGGTCTCTGATCCTTGCTGTTGCTTCATAGACAAGCGCTTTTGCAGCATCCTCCCTGTTTGTTTCCTCCACCATCTGATACCATAATGGCATAACCATACCTTAGATTTACAAATAAAGAAGACAAGGTAGAGAAATACCCTAGAAAACTTTCTGTCTCAGTGCAATTCATCACAACCAAATAAAGAATAGACTAATATTGTGTGATCAGTGCAAGGATTTAGAGCACAACCAAGATAATAGAAATTAAAGGAGGATGCAGGATTTTGACAAAAGAAATGAAAGCAGCAAAGATCTGGCATGCCATAATTTCTAGTTTCTTTGTACATGCAACTTATTAATACCAACCTGAATCATTTTGATAACATTGCTAGCACCAAAAACCTTATGCACCCCGGCGAACTTCTCAATCTCATCACAGGGAAAATATGGGGCAAGAATGCACTTGCCGTCACATCTCCTGCGTAGCATCTTACAAGCAGCGCAGGGTTGATGGGTCCTGGCCCTTGCCAGAGCTTCTAAACCCATTTTTGAGTACTCACTAAATGTTCCGTAACCAGAGCCTATATAAGGAGAAGGGAAGTGATAGGATTCGTATGAAGTCAAGAAGGGCGATAGGCACAGCTTGTTTGTTCTAGGGCCTCAATTTCAAATGTTAGTGCTGGGAAGTTGGGGAGGCGGCCACTCGCTGACAGGATTACGATTATGGCACCGTTGAAAAATGTGAAACCTCACTGTTAGGACAGTGGACCTAACAACATTGTCATTGTTGGGTTTTTCACCCAAAAAAAAAAATCTATATAGTTTGTCACTGTAGTAGTCACTGTCTGACAGACTCTCTCCTTAGTATCGTTGCAAGCTAGCTATCATATGACACACCTTGCTTCTGTTAAACATTGTTGAGCTCTAGTGTTTTCTTTTTTCCCTTTAAAGCACTGGTTGGACTGGTATCTCTTCCCTGTCCTTAGCCCCTTGGAGCCTCCCACAAATATTGAATTAATCTAGTTACTTCCATTCTGTTGACGTTAAAGAAAAATATGTACTTTGCTAGTTGGACTAAAGGCACAAGAAAAGTCAAACCGTGCTGTTTTTTTTTTTCACATTTTCTCACAACTGTTATCATTGTTAATGCAGAAAATGGCACCCAAATTTGATTTCTATAGCTTCATTAGGATTCAAACCCACGTGTTTTCACCTCTTCTGTCTATCGGTGCTTTGAGATACAATTAGACTTCAAGCTCCATACTTCCTTGGTTTTAGAAATTAAAGATTCTCATCTGTTCAGCAGCTTTGGCATCATCTGTATCAGTCCAAGTACGGATATCTAACACTTTGGTGTCACCTGGCTTGTTTATTTGACCAGTTGACGAGTAGTTTTTCATCCTAGGTAAAGGCAAATACGCAAAAGTAGAAGAGTTGAATCGGTCGAGTGATAGAATATTCATTTAGTGCCCATTGGCTGTTAAATGTTAGTGGCCTCGTGTGGCTACTGGTTAGTTAGGTTATAACATTTCATGGGCGAATGACGTAAGTGTTACGGATCTCATATCATTCAGAGATGAGATGTATTTTAATATATAAATATAAATTTTTTTTTATCACTTATCAAGTATATTTTTTAAATTAAAAATATGAACTAATAACATATGATATTAGAGTACATTCAAATTTTCATTTATATGAAATCCTATGAAAAATATAAGGTCACTAAAATGTTTCCATTATATGATTTGCTTTAAAATCTAAACAAATAAACAAGGTATGACCAATTTTAGGTTACCTTGAAATCTAGAAGAATCTTGAAGAATAAATGAGGTGTGAGTTTTCTGAATATATTTTAGAAGAATAAATAAGGAATGACTTATTTTAAGTTTATCTTGAAATCCAAAAGAGTAAACAAGTTGTGAGTTTTTTAAATATAATCTAAAAGAATAAACAAGGTATGACCTATGGTAAATTTACCTCAAAATCCAAAAAAGTAAACAAATTATGAGTTTCCTAAATATATTATAAGTCTATTTAGTAGTTGATTCTACAGATAGTTGATTTTACAAGTACCTAACAAAACTGAATAAAGGATAGTTTCGAATGAAGATGACAAATGGTATATTTATTTTAATAGTAACAATGAGAGTCATTGTTTTCATTTTTGTTATGATTGAAGTTCAATTTTAAAAAATGTCTATTATTGTCACTTAAAATTTTACTACATAAATATACGTATCGAATAAATAGAATATAAGCAAGCAGAGTATCGATCCAACAAAGAATTGATCTAAAGTTTACTAAATAGTAAAATTATAACAATTTAATTTTATCTAAATAATCAATATCGAATAATTAAATTAACTAACTAAAAATACTTAATCAAAATTTAAACTAAAAAAAATCAAAACAATAATAACTTGAGTAAATATCAAATCAAATAAGTTTAAGATTACAATATCTCTCACACTTCATTTAAATCTTACCTCTTTTCCTTAACTTATTTCAATGGATTGAATTGCTAACTTAGAATCTTAAATTATTTATAAAGATCTCCCGACTTATCTTATAAAAATATCTATTTTAACTAAAACACTATATCCCAATGTGAATTAAAATTAAAATAAATTCATTAAGTTTAGGCTCTAATCTTGGTACATATGGCTTATAGGTATATCCTTATCTTATACGAAATCAATTAATATGATCATATGTTATCTCAATTTTAGTCTATACTAAACTCTCTTTCCCAAGTTTGTTTAAATTCTTAAATCAATTTAATTGGTGACCAAGCAATTAAAAACAGTAAGAACAAATTGGAATAAACAATTCAAATCCTATTGAAGATAAGTAAGAAAGAGATTAAAAATTTAGATTACATATGAGTTTAATTACAATCTTAAAAAAAAAATTAGCTACTCATGATCGTAAAGATAGATAACATTATAATAATTTCAACTATTAAGTGTAATAAGAAAAATAAAAATCAAGTAAGAAAACAAAACAAAACAAATAGCTACTGTCTTGCTTTCCAAGTTTCAACCTCAATTTCTAGCTTCTTGAGTTTCTAAAGTTGTTTCTCAAAAGTTTTCTACTCTAATGTTCTTAAAAATTTCCTATTTATACTAATAAATTTAACCTATAATTTCTTAAGTTGATCTATGATTTGATTGGGTTTAAAAGTGTAATGAGATACTTAAAAAAATCAATTATCAGTTTTTAAAAATTTTCATTCATGACCTGGTACATCTAGCTATTTTTCGATGCGATTTTTTCTATCTTTAAGATAGAACTGGGTAAAGTGATCTCCATAAAAATTGCAGCTCTGTCTTTTAGCTTTTCAATAATATAAGAATCACATCATTTGAAGTCATGTAATGCAAGTTATGGCCAAAATATTAAAAAATATATAAATAGACTTTTGGGTATTTGAATATTTTACTTTTCAAAATTAAACTTAATTCTTTTAGTTCTTACAAAAAATATGAAAACTAATAAATAATAAATAAATTAAAAAATAACATCAAATTAAAGTAACTCACTTAAAAATAAATTAATTATAAAAATAATTAAAAATAAATAAATTATAATTGAAAATTGAGAACTTAACTAATATTTAATAATAAAATTGAATTAAAATAATTTTATAAAATAAAATTATCAATTATATTTTAAATAGTTAAAAAATTTTAAATTTAATTTTTTATTTAATAAAATCTGAATATTCAATTTACTTTAATAAAACTCTCTCTATTTATCAAACATGTCTTTGGATCAATCATCATATATTTTTTTAGTCCACGAACTGAGAGGCAAATCTAGTGCAGAGGCCATTAGAGCGTGACGACCTTTCCGCACATTTGTCTGATCTCGGAATTTTCCTTGTTACGCAGAAACAGCTCCTTTGCAAAAGGTGGAAGTGGGATAAGGCTGCAAACTCGGTGATTTAACACTTTCGTGCACTCCAACTTTTTATCATGTTAGGATAAATAAGCTAATTTAACTCTAAACAACTAGCTTAAATATTTAAATTTGATGATTCTTTGTCGTGAATGACAATAGAAATTTGATAATTGTCAAGAAATAAAATCTTGACGGTGGCATGTTTGTTGAAGGGTCCAAATAACATGATTGAAACGGAAAGCATTTAAGCATTTCCATTGGTCGAAAACAACAAATTATATATGAAATGTCAACCCAATCCAAATCAAAAATCAACTGGGATCATATGTCTCAAGAGCGTGACGGCTCCACTAAGTTGAGAGCCTTCATATTTTAGATGATTTTCTAATGTTATATTCTTTAGTCAAGATCTAAAACCGAAAGTGGCCCACCTCTTTGCACTCTCCTTCTTGGTTTTATAGGAGTTGGTATCAAGAAGATTTTCAAGTGATTTTCCTTTTCTGTTCCGTGTCCTTCCTGCTTCTTTCAGCAGCGCAGCTAGCCTTTTCTTTTCATCTTCAACTTCAGGATTTGCCGTTCCAAGCTTTTCTTCTCTCATCTTAAGGATGTACTCCAGTATCTCAATTGCATCTTCCACCCTGCGTATAACAGAAGTTCTTGTTCAGTACAGCATGCCAGTAGAGAACAATGCGGGTCACAGATTCGAAAAAACCAAAATAGAGGTGGGCGGATGCAGTTCATCTATATTTGAAAAGATAAATATATATGTCAAGAACGTCCATTCCTTTTTTGCTGTGGGACACAAATAAGCAAATTGTAAATTGATATAAATGTTTCAGATAAAACAAGACTACGAACATAGTCCTTAAGAACCTCAAACCATTGATAGCATAAATAGGTCTTAGTGATCAACCTTATCATCAACCTTTCTAGACTAGATAATTGACCTGCATCTAGAAGAAATTTTGACAAGACAGAGAGTTGCCCTTGTGGGTAAATTAAGATGTGCTGTTATCTAATTTGAGAGGGTTATTGTCATTAACTATAAATGCTTTCTTAGACAATCTGCCTATTCAAAAACATCTCAATGCATCCACAGCTTGAGAATAGTTACAGATAGCTCTCAAGGAACCAGAGTAAGTTAACACAAATTACAGGGATCACATGGTTAACGTACGGACGGAAGAATGCTTACCTTCCCATGGCATCATAGGTGGCAGCGAGGTTGCTATAAACTCCAAGAGTCTCTAAGTGACATGGGCCGCACTCCTGTTCTAATATCTTTCTTGCCTCTTCAAATAATTCGATGGCCTCGTCTATTCTATACAGTTGAACACTCGCTAGTCCCATCTGGTTCAATAAAATTCCAAAGAAAGCTGATTTACTCTCCCCACTACCACGGAGCTTTGCCACAGCACTCGCAAAAGAGCTTCGAGCTTCCCCATACCTGCCAACCATGTAGAACATCACACCCATCTGTGCCTCTATTCCGGCAATGGTGCTGCGGTTGCCTGGGGTGTCCTCCAGTAACCTCATTGCCTTCTGAAGGAGTTTCAGAGCCTCTTCAGGCTCATCCAAAGCTTCGTAGATGGCTGATACTTCAGTCAATCCACTGGCAATCTCCTCTGATGTAGTTCCAGGGATAGGTTTTGCGTATATCCTCAAGGCATTCTCACAATAGGATTTGGATTCCCTTAGCTTGCCTGTCTTATAGTAAAGATCAGCAAGACGAATAAAGACTGATGCCACGGAAGGGTGACTTTCGCCTTTTGTGGATTTAAATACCGTAAGTGCCTTCTGGTAGGCAAAGATTGCCTCGTCAAATCTACAAAGGGACAAATAAATGTTGCCAATGCTAACATCAATAGCAGCCACCTCAGTTTCTTGACCATTAGCAATCATTGACATGCTAGCGAGGACAAGGTGCTCGAGGGCAGATTCATAGTCTCCCTTCGCCTCACACACAAGAGCCATAAGCCTGCGGTCAGCTGCTTCTTCAAGAGATGCTGGTGCACTGTGCTCCCTGTGGATTTCAAGGGTCTTCTTGCAGAGATTCTCTGCCTCGTCAAATTGCATCGCTTGAACATGGGCCTCAGCTAAATACCTGCCATTATCAGTCAGTTGAGTGTGCAGCTATGCCACTTAATTTTAGCACCATATTCAATAACGAGTCTGATGACACAAAGTGTTTACACCTATAGGTGCAAAACAAGAACGACACGCTTTTACCTTTTTTATGACATAATACTTTAAAGAAATTCTAAATTATTTTAAAAATTTTAAATAAATTTTTATTTTTTATTATATTTAAGTAAATATTTTTATTTTTATTTTAAATTAAATAAAATTTTATAATTAATAATTGACTAATTATTATTAATCAAATAACTATTTATTGTTTTATCTCATATGATACTAATGTAATATATTGACATGCGTAATAAATAATGGCGTAATATGTTTATGTGATGTGATGATTGATTATGTAACATTTTTATCATTTACATCAATTTTACATAAATATAAAATAATAAATAATATTTTAATTAACGATATTTACTCAATCATTAGTTCTTAATCATTAATTATTATAATTTATTTAATTTAAAATAAAAATATAAAATTTGATTGAATATAAAAAAGATATATTTAAATTTTTTTAAATAATTATATACTTTTAAAGTATTATGTAATTTTTTATTCCTTTTTTTTTTACCGTGGCTATTTAATTTCAAAGTTTGAAATTATATCAACTAATAATAAACTAATCACAACACATTATATCTAAGTTCCAAACGATAATCAAATAAAAACAATTTATTAGAAAAAACAGAAGGTAGTCTGCTGTCCAGTGCGTGCGTATTAAACTTGCCACAAGAGTGCACAGCAAATCTTCATCGCGAAAACCGAAGCAACGGTTCATACCAACCCCTTCAATCTTTTAACGACACGTTGGGCCACAAGCCTCAACGCCGTTGCAAACAAGGGGCACTGTAACACTACCACGAGCACACCAACTAAACGGTAACATGAATAAATCAACAAATAACGGAAGGTTAGTTACCTGCAAGTCTCAGCAACTCTCGGATCCGAATCGCCAAGAGCTTCAATCTGGATCCTCAACCCTGACTCATAGCACTTAATGGACTGGTCCAATTGACCCATCATTGAATACGTGTCCCCTAACTGCATATACCCAGAAAACTTTGCTAGCGCTCGATCCTGCTCGCTTCCAAGAGCCGGTACCTCAATGGACCGCTCCAAAACCGGAAGCGCTTCCTCAAACCTCCCCAAGCTACTATAAATCGCCGCTAGAACGTGCAAGCTCATAGCCAGCTCTAAACCCGGACCTGAGCATCTCTCGAACGATTTCGAGGCCCGGATGGCGTAATCCAAGGCCTTATTCGGGTTATCACCGGAAGCGACGGTGTCTCGGGCGAGCTTGAGGAGAAACGGACCCAGATCCGGGTTGTCGAGAGAGGACTCATCAATGTGGGTTTTATCTGGGGTTCTTTTTGTTGGCTTGGATCGTGAAACCGACGGTGACGGGGATGGGGCTCGCTTGGAGCCGCCGCCATTTTCAGTTCCTGCTAGGAGAGTCCTCAAGGACGTCGCATTGGGTGGAGTTTTAACGGAAACTAGACCAGGCATCGGCTAAGATTTTCTTTCCGCAGTTGGGAAATTGTTGGTTTATAAAAAAACCAGCATATAAAATATTTAAATAGAAAGAAAAAGCGAAGGAGTGAATGATCAATGGTGGTGATGATAGCGACGGTGGTGGTGGTGGAGGGTTGCTTGGAGGAAACGTCTCATGATCAAAGAATTTGGGTACTTTAATTTAATAAAGAGCTTTAGAAAGAAAAAAGGAACGAAGAGAGATACGAAATCCATTCAGCAAGAGAGGCAGGTGCACTTGGTGCAGTGGCTTTCATGGGTGTGAAGAGTCTTCCTTTTTACTTAATTTGTAGAGGGTGGGTTTCGCTTTCATTTCCTCGCTACCGCTCCTTTGCTTGTTGCTTTTCTAGTGTTTTCCTAGTTTGGCTGAGAGTAGGAAGGTGCCGCCTGGTTGGTGTGCGACAAAAGTCACCCATTATTTCCTGTCAAATTGTCAGTTTTGCCATCACCTGCCTTTCTTTTCTTTCACCTAGTTTTACTGTTCTTTGTTTTTTTGTTTTTTGTCTTCAATTTTGTTCATTGCAAAAACCCGTTGGAATATATTACTAATATGAGTTTGTTTAGGAGGAAGAGTGTTTTAATTTTTAAAATCCACCAATTCAAAATGATAAAATATATAATTGTATTGTTTGATAAGTATTTTTTATAACTTATTGAAATTTATAAGATAAAAAATAATTATAAAAAAGAATAATGATATTAGAGATAAAAAATTAAAAAAAATGGAGAAAGCGTGTAACATGAGTATTATTAGATTTGTAAAAATGTATATATATATATTACTAATAATATGAAAAAGGGCAATAAATATATTTGAAAAGTAAATTTTTGTAATTAGAGTTAAACAAATAAAAGTTGCATAAAAGAAGGAAACCTATTCAATATAGTAGAATTTGAAACTGAGAAGTTGAGTCTTTCAAAATTTTTCATCCAAATTTTAAGAATTTCGAAAATTTCAACTTTTATTTTGCCAAACAAAATAGTTTAACTTGTAAAATTTTACTCATGGAGAGCTAGTTAATTAAAGAAGTAATGTGTTGGTATATTGCGTTACTTTAATCCTTGTATATAGCTTAGAAAATTTCAAATTTGATTAAAAAAGTTGAGATGTACTCAATTGCTCCATTTAGTAAATGTGTGAGCTTAATTAATTGGAACATTTTGAGTTGTCAAATTGATTACAATTGAATTGTCTTTTCTTTTGATTGGTTACATTATATTAAGACTAATGATTAAAAATTCAGATCAAAGATTGGACTGATGGTTTTGTCAGATTTCAGTTTAATTGATCTAACAGGTCAATTAAATTTTTTACTTTATTTAAAAAAAATAAAAAATTATTAACATTAAATGTATATTTCAGATGATAAAAATATCAAAAGAAGTTTTTTTATTAAATGTTGGAATTTTAATTAACATTCAAAAGATTAATGGTTCAAATCATGTCCTTTACAAAAAAAAAAGTTTTAAAAAATAAAAATTTTAACAAAAACTGATTTAATTCATTTAAAAACCTAATCAAATTGGTTGAACCAAAAAATTGATCAATTTTAATTTATTATGATATCTTTAATCAAATCGCACAAGTCATCGATTCAATTAATTTAATTTATTTTTTCAAAACCGACTGAAATCAACAAATGATTTGATTAAAGAACTTTTCTATATAGTTAAAGCTTTTCTTTTTGTTTTGTTGAGGTAATTAACGATATATCTCTGACTTTCTTATATTACAAAGGCCCTGCTTGATTTAAATTAATCATCAATTGATTCATGGCTCAATTTGGTGTTCAATATATCATTATTTAGTTGCTTCTTTGATTCTCCAAACTTGAGTTGACGGGTTATTTCATTTTAGAGTTTGTTCCACTTTTCACTCTTCTTAATCATATTACATTATGATCAATGACAAATTTGTTCTATCAACCCATTTCATTTGGATGCAAAAAATCAAATTAAGCATTGAACAACCTCTCAATTCTTTTTTTAACTAAGAGTAATTGAATGAACACTCGCACATTCTTCCTTTAACCAATATCTATAATTTTATATAAAAAGAAATTTAAACGGGCTCTCTAACAGTACCATGTAGGCACATTAATAAGAAAGTACCGTAAGTAAAAAAAAATGATTAAATTTTTCACGTGGTGCCATCAAGGGGGAGCTGTTATAGGCTTTGGCTTCGGATGGGCCGCATCACTAGTTGGCCTGTATGGTTGATGGACTGCCATCGGCAAGATTTGCCAGGTCAAATTCTTGTTAGAATTAGTAATACACCTATTGTTGCAAAAAGGCCAACATGTGTTACAAGGTGGCAGTGCAATAGTAAAAGTTACACCCGTTGACTCTCAGTTTTGGTGGATCATACTACTAACGTCATATACAAAGTGCACGTGTCACGAGGGTTTCTTCTTGACCCATGCAGCTTAGCACTTGCTTTATTCAAAGGGTCTTAGAAAGGCTAGCAGCCTTTTCAATTAGAACAAGTTGAGATTGTTTATGGCAACACAAGCAAGAAGAGAGCTTTTATTTCATAGAATTCAAATACAAGAGTCATTAGCCTCAAATGAGGGTGCTCAAGGTGTTTTTATAAGCCCTGAACCCCTTGGAGCTATTGCAAGCCTATTCCCAAAGGCTAAGGGCTGTTTTAACCCCTACCGGACCCTCCTGACGCGCCCCAACCACTATTTCCAAGGGTAGGCAACGACTGCCCTACAAGCCCCAGTTTCTTGCCAGTCTACCTGCTCCGCTGTTCACCCTTTTCCTGTTGGCTCGCGCGCCTCGTCTGCCTGCTGGCCCGCTCGCCGAGTCTGCCTGTTGGCCCGTGTGCCCAGTCTACTTGCTGGCCCGCGCACCCAGTCTACTTTCGAGTGCTGATGCCTTCGAGTCACAGTGCTGTATTGGCACTGAATCGGAGTCCCAACCCTTGTCGCTCACTCATCCTTGAGCTGGCTTGTCTACTCTCGAGTCTCAATCCCTTGCCATCGAGCTAGCCTGCCCCTCACCACAAAATAGGCGTGACACACACATGATTATACGTTTCTATGTGTAGATGGATGTGTTGTAAATCGAAAGATTTTTCAAAAAATGAAGAAGAACTATATAATGAGGAGAAGAGGAATAAAAAGAAAATGAAACAAAGACTAAAGAATTTGAAAAATGAATCATACACTTTTCTTTTTCATTTTTGGTATTTATATCTTCAAAACAGATTAAACAACTAAAGCTTCAATTTCGGTCTAGGGAAATGAAAACCAACTAAAGTCAACTGCAACAACCAAAGCACCAATATCAATGCCTTGCTTTCTGTGCAAAGCAACAACTAGCTGATGAAACAAAAAATATATCAATAAAAACCAAAGGACACAAGACTCCGTCGTTTAACCTACACAAAATAATAGAAAAATAAAAACGAGACATAGCCTACGTTTAACAAGATAGATTTAGTAAAATATAAAACTACTTCATTTTGATGGTTTTCTTCTTCATCAATTTTCTATTAACTCTCGTCAATCTACTTAATACCAAGTTTTCAACCAGAAATCAATCATTTCTTCAATAAGCTATAGCATAATTAATAGTAGGATGGTGAGTCATCTTATTGTTATAAAAGTATTCTTTGCAATAGTTTCTCTCACTAAGAAAAGTATATTTTTCTTAAAGACTAGTGTTGTTTGTTTCCTTTTCTAAAGATCATTTTATTTTTTTTAGAACGAAGTCAACATTTAATTTCATTTTGCACTTATAAGATTAATTGTTAGACATATCTAAGAGTTGTAAAATTGTTTGACTCTAAAGCCTATTTTTCGTAATAAATAGATTATAAGGAATTTAGATATTTTTGATAGACAATAAAAACTCAAAGTATTTATGATTTTTTTTTTTAATTTTCAACTTCATAGCATTTCTTTTGTTCTTGTTTTTTGCCCTTGTCTTGTTTGCTTTATGTCTCTTAAAGTGGTGGCTAACAAGACTTTATATAGACTTTCAAGTGTCCATTATTAAGGACACAACCTTTTTATTGAGGTGTCTCTTTGTCTTTTCACACACCATTTTTTTTTTTTACAAAACATAATTTATAAATAAGGTTGTTTTTTCAATAATCACCTTATGAAAAGATAACTTTTCATACGTAATCTTTGAATTGAGGTGTGTTCCTAATAGTTACTTTATCAAGCGATAACTATACATTTAGAAAAACATAATCTTTCAATAGAAATATTTTTTCAATAGTCATTTTGTCAAAAGACAACTTTACATATGAAAAAACATAACCTTTCAATCGAAGTGTCTTTTCAATAGTCACAACTTTTCATATGAAAAAATATAATATTTTATTTTAAACATACATTAACAATTTTTTATTATTTTCAAAATTTTTAAACATCAACAACTTTGAATATCTTATGCATAAATGAAGATATCAACAAAATTTGAACCTTCATTTAGTGAGTGTGGTTGATTCTAGTATGAATTATGTGGTTGATTAAGCATTTGACCAACTATTCTTCATTGACTAGTAGAGTCATTAAACATGCATAAGCTTCCTACTTTGTATCCAATTTTGCCAACACGTTTATGATCTTTTGTTATGCATCCATTCATGACTGTTGTTAGAGTCAAGTCTTTAACTTCTAGAAGTGGCAACACTTCTCACTCACATAAGTAACACCTAATAGTAGTATCACGTAATTATAGTATTCTAACATATATATTTTACAGGTCTATTAAGAATTTACGTCTAACTTATTTTTACTCATTACGGGAACCAAATACTTTACACCTTGGGTTGGAAAAATAAATTATTATTTGCAATCATCCATGTGGTGAATTATGACTCATTGAACTAAAGACTTGCAAAAAACTAGGAGCGTTGAGTTGAGCTTTCACCATTAGTTATTTTATTTGATAAGTTTTAGATCTCTCCCTTTTGAGGTCTTTAATACCAAGTCCTTTGTAAGTCTTTTGATAAACGGATTTGTCAAATTTTCACTAGATCTCACAGAGCGTATAGTGACTGTACCATCACTAATATGTTGTCTTACAATACTGTGTCAAAGTCTAATATATCTATTTTTTCCATTATATGTTTGATTATATGCTTTCGACACTGTAACTTCATTGTCACAATATATTAGGATTAGTAATATAGGTTTAGGCCCGACAAAATTTTATAGGTGGTAAATCTTTTAACAATTCCTGTTCTTGAGTAGAAGATGTTAAAGTTATTTGCCACCATGGTAGAATCTACTTGCTATGAATGTTTCTTAGAATCCCAAGAAATAACACCCCTACTAGTTGTAAAAATCCAACTTGTAGTAGGGGTATAATCTATTCTATTTAAGTTCCAATTAGCATATGTAAATCTTTTTAAAAGTGAAGAAAAATCTGAATAACAAATACCATAATTCATTATATTTTTTAAGTACCTTAGAACTCTATGAACAACATACCAATACATTTTACTTGAATTACTTGTGAATCAACTTAGACATAAGCGTACAATTTGACTTACCATATTTCATTACAATCTTTTGAATATAATGTGATTGAGACAATGTTATGCCATTATTATCTCTTATTATTCTTATGTCAAGAACAACATTTGTCACACCCATATATTTTATGTCAAAATTATTTGATAACAATATTTTTATATCCTCCACTTATTCCAAGTCAATATCAAATATTAGCTTGTCATCCACATATAGAAAAATTATGACACTTTTACCATTATAAAACTTACTATAAACACATTTGTTAGATTGATTAATCTTGTACGTATTAGCTAGCACAACCTCATTAAAGTTTTAACATCATTGTTTAAGCACTTGTTTTAATTTATGCAACAACTTAACAAGCTTAGACACTTTCCTTTCTTGATAAGGAACCACAAATCCTTCAAATTGTTTTATAGACATCTCTTCATTTAATTCACTATTTAAGAATGTTGCTTTAATATCAATTCAAGAAATTACCATACTATGGAATATTGATGCAAGTGCCATGAGCGTTCTAATTGACAACTTTACACTTGGAGAAGATGTCAGGCTTGCCTTGTTTTTCTTTTTTTTTTGAAGATTGACCTTGGCAGAAGGAAACCTTGGTTGTAGTGCAATAGGAAGAGTTGCACCTGTTGACTCTGGGTTTTGATGGATCATACTACTAAGGACATATAACAAGTGCAGGCATACGCTTTCAGAAATGCTCGAGGTGCGGATAGGAATGAAGCTGATACTTAACTTTTGCCTTTTAGAAGAAGTTGACAGTTTCGCTACACTTCTGTGTGCAAATGGGTGTATCATAATTGATAGGAGGATGGTTATGATTTTGTCCTGGCTTTGTATAATAGAAGAGAAGGCAAATTGGTCAGTTTCTTTTTGCTGAACCTCGTTTCACCATGCTAGTAATTGTCTGAGTTTGTAGCACAGGGGAATTCTTGCTTGATTTTGCTGATAAGCAATGGTACTATACCTCCTAATATATCATTTTAATTGTTTGAGCTCATTTTATGTGCTGCAATGCTTTGAGTTGCTGCGGAAGTTGGTTGGTTGCTGCTATTTTGTGAATTTATTGTTGCATCGAGATTGAATGTAACTTATAGAATTTAATGTCCTTGCACGGTCGGTTATGGGTGTCCGATTGAGATTCAAGCCCTGGTCTGTTTGCATTGAGTTGTTCTAGGCAGATGCTGAAACCAGTGAGAGATGACAAGGAACTGATTGAGCGTATTGATAAGCGCATCGAAGCTCTCTGATTTCACATCCAAAAATACTACTGGCTTGATTTCACACAATTAAACAACATTTGTCGTTACAGATGCCTTCGAAGATAGTTTATCCAGCCTCGGCCCTCGGAGGGTGATGAATGGAAAACTGTCACTGGATTTGATCCGAAGAACACACCACGGAGTTAACCATAATGTTGGATATTGGCCAGGTAGGTGTCATGTACATAAAGTTCCATATTATACCACGGAGTTATCACTTGTGCACCACAAGCAATGGTACATATTTTGAGTTATCTTGTGAATATTATACCATTTGAAATCTGTCTGGAAGCTGCTAAAATGCTCCCAGGGCGTGGACGCTATTTGGAAAATTGGTTGATCACTGCTCAGCAGTGTCAACATCTTAAGACTGAACTTGTCTTATGGCCTATGGCCTGATTCTACGGATAAACAGCATAAGGCATTTAACATTTTGATTTAGTGTGAATAGGTCTGCTGTGAACAACTGGAAACAATCAATTAATTATAACCATCAAGTATGAAATCAATATGGCTTTCTGTAATTGACTAAAGGTCTGATTGTGTCCTTGAAAATGGTTATTGTAATCTTGTTTGACCTGGTGTTTTGAATCTCTTTTGCATCTCTGCTATGGCTACTCACAGCAGCATGTATCAAGACTGGAAGGCCTCAAAATTGCGAAACGAGCCATTGGGCTGGCTGAACACCGCCTCTCCAAAGATGAGTGGGTTATGTTGGGAAGCAAGCAAGGAAATATGAGACATGGAACATTTCTAGCTACTTGGTCGCAAAGATGATGAATGAGACTCCGGTGAAATTAACAAATAAAAGATGATGATTGAGATTCTGGTGAAATTAGCAAAACTATTTTTGCAAAAGGACGGTTTATTTGCATGCGCATCCGGGGAATCGAACCCCGGTCAGTACCGTGGGAGGGTACTATGATACCACTACACCAGATGCGCCCGTGGTTTAATCGCTCCAACCGATACTAGTCTCTTTAAATATAATAAATGGCCAATTCCGAACTTTTTGGAAGCCGGATTCCTAAAAAAAAGTTAAAACGAGGAGATAGCTTGGATGAAAAGCAACGGCCGATGCTCTGTCCAGCCGGCTTAACATTAAGCCAACGGACAGAATCAAAATCAACGATCCGTTATAAAAATGGAGAAAGCAAAGCAAAGCACGTAACAGAAGACTGATTCTAATTCCTTCTCACCTAATCGATCTCTCTTTACAACTAAACCTTCATCAACAAACACCTGTAGTTACAAAGCCCTCATCTAAAAATTTCATAAAATAGGCCTCATGGAAAACAGCTGCAGCTTCATTTCATGCGACAAGCTAGATCGTATGGCTACCTGGGTGGGCAGCAACATGGCCTCCGCGTTTTTTGCATCATTGGAGCGCTGCTCCTGTATTAACCTCAGCACCACCGATTTCGATGATGAAGAGGAAGCCAAGGATCGCCCTCTAATGCTCACCAAGCCCATCGTCCACGACGAAACTGAAGCTGAACCACAACCCGAACCAGCCTCTCAGACCCACCCCACCGCCAATCAGCTCAACGTTTGATTATTTCTTCTTGGGTTTGTGTCCTTTTGTTTCTGTACTTTTTCTTTTCTTTCGCTTTTGTATATCTGTTTCTAGGTTAATTGCGAATCAATTCGCACACTTTGGTTTATAATTTGATGTAAATTGTTTTTTTTGTTATTTAATGGAAATTGCAATGGAATTTGTGACTTTCGTTCTCATTTTTGTCTTTTTTTTAAAAAATTTATTTCGAAGATGATGCAGCTTTACAATTTTAGACTCATTTCGCGGATGTATCTAAATATTGTGATCTGACAAACTTTCTTTTTCGTTGTTATGTACTCTGCAAACTTAATTTAAGAATAAGTCCATGAAAATGGACTGCCAACAAGTGAATGAATTGTTACTACTGTATTTATTTTACTAACAAAATGTTTTGTTTTTTGTTTTAACTGAATTATTAAATGCTTAATGCCTATGACTAGAATTGCTGTCTACGTTCAATGTTTGGGACTAGAACTTTATCATGCTTAAATCAGGTAGCAGAGTGAATAAATTTCGTTCTTGATGTCCTCCATTTCCCCTTTTTTCTTTTGCTTGGGCTCTTGGTGATTTTCCTTGACTGTTGGTCCACAATTCTTTTGAAATTGAAGCAGAGTTCTTGCTGCTTATGGTTAGGTGACACATGAAGAGTAAATACCAAGGGCTGGATTGGCTTGAATTTTCTCTTCAAGCCAAGCTCTCTAACATGTTTTCTAAATCTTATTCACTGTCTGAAACCAAGGATGGATGACATACAATAGTGAAAGTGTTCCTTAGCTTTTCAATGTTGACATTGTATTGTCTTTTGTTGCAGTTCATTGTGGTACCAGAGGAGCAATTTTTTCCCTTTGAAGGGGAGCTCTTTATCCTAGTCAATAGTTCCTTTTGGCGCTACAAAATCTTCTTGTCTACTCATTAATCTTGTAAACCTGGAACTCCGAATTGTTCACCTGATATATTATCCTGAACTTCCTAAATCTGTGCAAAGATAAAAGAGTTTCTTGTATTGCTATAGTTGCTTTTATTTTTTTTATGGCAAGAGCTTTAATTATCTATCAATGATTCTCTGGGTGAATGAGATGTCAACTTGATATATATTTAATTCAGGGGTTCTACCCTTGTGATGAAATCTTTGTTCGGTTTAGTATCTGGGGGGATTTGTCACCTGTTGTCTCTTTAGATCATTGATGAATCTTTTTCATATTCAGAACCTCCTAAACCAGAATGTTGAGCTAGAGCAAACCATTGAGATTCTTGTTGCTGTGTATTAAGTCGATAACATTTAGGGATATGTTGATGCATTGAAATTCTGATTATTAGCAATATTATGGTAATTGAAGATTTGCTTCTCAATTTAATGTTGCTTAGCAAGTCTTAATCCCATAGATTCCGTGGTCAAATATTAGGTGTCAAAAATTGCATTTATATGTCCGGCTAAATGTAGATTGGCATTACTGAGAGCCCCGCCAAATGAGACACACTCACAACATACAACAAAAAGAAATTATTGCATCAGAAGCTAGTAGTAGTGGTTCCTGTAAACAGATATCATAATCCTCTTATCAAAATCCAGATACTAGAATCATGATACATAATTTCAGTTCTTCAAACAGCTTGTGTAAGATTTTTAGCTTGGTATGTCTACTTGTCTGCCAACTCTTTTGGGATTGACCAGAATAAGAAACAAATTTATGAGGCATGAGGATGCAATTCTATGCAGTAGATTCTCCTGATTCAGGACGATTGCTGTGTGAAAGAACAGTAAATGAAATGAAAATTAAAAAAAAGTTCAAAAGCACAGAAAGGGAAATTGAAAGCATTTACATTACATAGAAAGGATAAGTTCAGTGCTTTGGTTTTGAATTTACACTGCCTTGCTCTTGATTTCTCATCTATCCCTCTTAAGATCATTCAGGTGAATCATGACAAAGCTATTATTTATCCTTGGGGTCTCTCCAGCAAATCAGCATCAGCACGCAGCGCTGGATAATGTACAGCCTTGCTCGCTTCTCCTTTAAGATCCCACTGCTTGGAAACTGAACTTTTCCTTGTTTCCTCACCGAAAAAGCCCGACATCCTGTTGCCATGAGTTTTCACTTACAGCTTTTTCTTGAATTGCCAGAGGACTAGATAAAGGTGATTATCCTATTATCTGATAGTGATAGATAGAGGTGTTTTCTTATTAATAAAATACATTTTAGAATAGGAGAGTGCAAGGAAGTTACAGAGGTTGGTTATAAATTTTGTCTCCTGGTGCTGTAAGTTACATGAATGTTTATATCCTCGAAAGCTCCGACATGCAGGTAGCCAGATTTTTGCATTGAAATTTAGTGTTTTGCAACATTTGGCATATTTTTTATGGAGGAATTTCTGGATATCTGTTTCCTGAGCAAACCAAACCAAGTGTTTTTCTACCACTTGGGGTACTTTGATGCCTGTTTGTTTTTATTATAGGAATCTCATGTGCCAACCTCTAGGCCCAGTGGAAATATATGGGAAACTGAAAAAACGGTTGAAACTTTTAATGGCTGCTCTGTGTTTGTCAGACAACTTGGTGTTGGGTAGGTCCATCGTCAACATATTCATGGGAAGGGAAACAAAAGAGAGAATGGATCTGAAATTACAGTGAACGTTTGAGGTTTCAGATCACTAGCTGAACAGACGGCATCGAGAAATAAGGGATTTCTATGCTGTTTTAGATTTTAGCTTCAAGAACAGCCCTATGATTTGGTTGGAATGCAGGCTTAAGGGTGCGAAAAGGTTGAAGTTAGCCTTTCCCCTTGAAAGCTATTGCAACCCAAATCAGGGTACTAAGGATTCTAAAGGAAAATGCCTACAAAAAAGAAAAAGATCAAAGGAGCCCGTTTCAGAGTTCATTAATAACGAACGATTATGTTTCCTGTTTCTTTTTTATTTTAATGTTTTCCACAATAGGAGAGTTAACCAAAAATGACTGGCAACTGGATTGGATTATATCAGGAAAGCAGGCAGACTGGGACGGCTTTCGCATTTGTGTCTGCAACCATAAAGACAGGGACCCTTTAGAGGAACCTGTTTTTCTCCATTTGTCATGCAAATTTTGCTGAAATTAATTATACATAAAAGAGACCTGATTCTGTCTTACTGCCCAATAGCTTCCAATTATATCCAGCAAATAAGCAGGTTAGAATGATGATCAGGATAATGATAGTGCTGCTGCTTCGATTGCTGCTCCTGGATGTTTGCTGCTGCCACTTATTACACAAAACACACTTGAAATTATAGTTCACCACTTTGTCTAAGCCATATAGCTTTCTGGTAATAAAGACTCACAAATTTTAAGCTTGACTTACAGAAAATGAACGGAAAAAATAAATTCTTGTTTCTGTAAAGATATAAGAATCTGGGCTGGATCATCATGGTCTCTGTACACATTATACAATGAAAATTTTTCCCAACAAACTAATAATAAATTCTATATTCTCAATTAAATTGGACTATAAGACAACCAAATTGGCCAGCGTGCATATCCCATGCATAGATGCTCACTGACTCTAAATTTAATTAAAGAGAAGGTTTGAGATATGAAATCATTTAGTATTATTTCTAAGTTAGTTATGCTGTTGCCTGTGGTATCCATTTTTAGAGTTAAAAAACAATAGAAAAAGTCAGCTCTATTGAGCTAAACTTTTTGTCTCAGCCTGCATTATTCCACTTAAATTTGACGTCCATTGTCATGTAGTAAAACTAAGATTCCATGCATATGTGAAGATAGTAAGTGTCCTTAGAAAAATATTTTCATATTAATGCAAGCGATCCATGCATGTCGTGTTGTTCTGAGATTAAGATGTTGATAGATAAACTCACAACAGTTTTTCTCGAAAAAGAAAGATGGCAGGAAGAAGAATTAAGAACAAATTAGGTCTTTGGAACAGTTAGAATCTTCAATTTTTTTATTAGTTAAATCGTGGCCTTAACCCTTTTTCATTTCCTTTTACGTGGACGCTTTAAGCCAACTGCCCCAATTAAACTAACCCCGGAGTTCTTATTGTCATTTCTGTCTCATGAAAAGAAGAAAAGAAGCAGCACGAGAAGGGAAACCTGCTTGAGATATGTGAAGAAAGAACCACACGCATTAGAAAGCAGCCGCTGACAGAAAATATCAAACGCAGGCCCTGTGGCGTGACATTGAAGTCATTACTAATTACATGATCATGCCCTCTGCGACACAATCATCCAATGGCTCGATTCCGAGATACCCTTTTCTCTTAAATTGGAAGTTGCCTATACTGCTGCAACAAATCACGTTTAAGCAGTGCTCTTGTCTTCTTCTCTTTTAATCACTGATAAAGTAGATTTTATCTGAGAATTATGGTTTAACTGATAAAAAGAAGAAAGGTTTGAAGTTAAGGTCTGATCTATTATCCAGAGGGTTAGATATTGTTAACCAAAGTGATGACCACAAAGTGAAACAACGGAAAGAATACTTCATTCCATAATTTGAAGGATCAAATCATATTGGGTTGCGTTCATCTACAGTAAAAATGGTGGGTCATGACATAATCACACGTGCCTGAAAAATCATATCCAAGGTTCCTACTTCCTCGCCCGATGAATAATAAAAAGAAAGATTCTAAAGTCATAAAGTGGAAAGGGAAAACAGTTGATGGCAAGTAAAATGGATGAAGAGATAATATGAGCAATTAAGCAAAAAGACAATGCTAATCAATTGGGAGAAAGATTTTACAAGACAGCTTTGGAAGTTCATGCTGCAGAGTGCGGAGCCAGGGTCCCCTTCCCCTTTCCCCCTCACACAAAAGCTGGTTTAGGAAGGCGTGATCCTACTTTGCTTATGATTTGAGTAAAAGACAGGTGTCTAAGAAAAGCACAACAAACAAACCCATTCTTTACTCGCCTTTTGCTCCATCTGAGTACTACAGAGTTGAAATGGTTGGTCCAATCGGTTGTGCTTTTACTTGTTTTTCTTTTTCTCTCTTCAATCGACATTCATCCATTGCACACAGCAAGCCCTCCAGAGGAAGGGTGGCCTGTCTTTTACTGGCAAGACATACATGAAATATTGTCCAGTAAGAAATATGGAATCTAGGTAGACAACTTTTTACTATGGTTTTAGGAGATATATCTTATTTTCATGCAAATATGTTGGTAATTAATGAGCTCTTAGGCCTTAGAGGTTTTTGCATTCGAATATTAATCGGATATATGCTCCTGAGGTTGGGGGCAGTTAGGCAAACAATAGAAGGTTAACCACTACTGCGAAAAAAAAAAACACATATTGGTCGGTGTGGCTTCGCTTTCATGGCTGAACCTAGCATGAAAACCTCCTTCCGATAACTGGTTTTCAAGTTTCATAGGTTTTATTTATATATTAAGAGAAGAAATGCTTATACGTGGTAACTAAAAAATTATAGGCAAAGATATATGAAAAGAGAGTAGACGGTAGCTGCTGAGGTGGGGTTCGAATCTAGAAGCCGGAGTGCTTATATTCTCAGTCAAAGGACATAATTTAACTGGGAAAATGTTGACAGATTTATGAACCAACAGAAAAGATAATATCTGCTTTTCCTGTTAAGACAGAGAGATGGCTAAAATCCTTCCCCACAATGGGTCACACTGAATAATCACGCCCCCAACACCTTATTATCACGAATCCATGTTAGAGGAATCATGAAAGCTGACAAACATAATACATCTAGACAAATTTTTTCTACTTTCCCTCCCTCCCATAATAGCTTAAAATATTATATGGCTTCACCCTTTTATATTGCCCCACTTCTCCACCCCTTCCCTAGCCTCCACTTCAACTCTCTCTTTCGCTCTCTGGCTCTTACTCAAAATGGCCAACACAGCCACTTTCCTTTTTATATGCTTAAGCTTGTCAATGCCATCCTATCTCCAAGTTTCCCTCCATGCTATGGCACAAGAGTGGCCTGGAGGGAGATCAACCAGGTTCTACGATTTCAAGGTCAATCCCTTGATCATTTCTCTCGAAATATGCTCAACAATTATCTCAATATTCTCAATTCTGGTTTTCTAAATAAGGTTTTCTTTGCAAGTAGGTACAAACCCTGAGAGTTACTAAACTGTGTAACACCAAAGAGATTGTGACCATTAACAAAATGTTCCCAGGACCTGTTGTTTACGCCCAAGAAGATGATAGAATCATCGTCAAGGTCACCAATGAGACCCCCTACAATGCCACGATCCACTGGTATTTTCTGATAATTATATGACGAATATTACTAATTAATCAGAAAATTAACTCCAGAACTCTGCTAATTGTATATCATCATTACTCATTGCTGGCTATCTTTTCAGGCATGGAGTCAGGCAGAGGTTATCATGCTGGTTCGATGGTCCATCTTACATTACCCAGTGTCCCATTCAAGCTGGCCAAACTTTCACGTACGAGTTCACATTGGTGAAGCAGAAGGGCACGTTTTTCTGGCATGCCCACGTTTCTTGGCTTAGGGCCACTGTTTATGGTGCCATTGTTGTGTATCCTAAGACAGGGGTCCCTTACCCTTTCAGGTACCCTTACCAAGAGCATATCGTAATCCTAGGTATATCTCCTTTAATCCAACACTTAAATATAGAGTGATAAATAGTGTTATGGTATGTATGTATATATATATATATATATATATATATATATATATATATATAAATGATTGGATCTGAAGATTACCTGGAAATGTGGCAGGGGAATATTGGCTGAGAGACGTGGTACAACTTGAGCGGCAAGTTCTAGCAAGCGGAGGACCTGCTCCACCAGCTGATGCATTTACCATTAATGGTCATCCAGGCCCTAACTACAATTGCTCCAGCAATGGTAAAAAGCCAAATTTATACTGTAATTCTCTATAGTACCTAATTAATTACTTAGCAGACAGCATGACATTAGATTATCTGCTTAATTTGCCTATTCAATCATAAGTAGAATGGATAAAATAAAACTAGGCTTCCTTCTAATATTATAATTATTGGTATGCAGATGTCTACAAGATTGACGTGGTTCCAGGGAAGACGTATTTGTTAAGACTAATTAACGCAGGCTTAAACATGGAGAACTTCTTTGCCATAGCTAATCACAAATTAACAATTGTGGAGGCTGACGCTGAGTACACCAAGCCATTCACGACGGACCGTGTGATGCTGGGACCAGGGCAGACCATGAGCGTTCTCGTCACCGCTGATCAGCCTATAGGAAAGTACTCCATGGCCATAGGACCTTACATGTCTGCCCAGAATGTTGCATTCCAAAATATATCAGCCGTTGCTTACTTCCAATACCTGGGTGCTGTCCCTAACAGTTTATCATTACCGGCTAAATTGCCGAGCTTTAATGACAATCTTGCTGTTCAGACTGTCATGGATGGGCTTAGGAGCCTTAGTCCTGTTAATGTTCCTAAAGAGATCGATACTAGCCTGTTCGTCACCGTGGGATTAAATGTCAACAAATGTCGGTCCAAGACACCGCAGCAGAACTGCCAAGGCACCAACAATGGGACTATGGCAGCTTCCATGAACAATATAAGCTTTGTCAAGCCTACTATTTCTATTTTGGAAGCTTACTATAAGAAGATTGGTGGTCATTTCACAGAGGACTTCCCTGGCGCACCCCTTCGGTTCTATGACTTCGTCAATGGGGCACCGAACAGTGCTCCTAATAACACACAGGCCATCAATGGAACTAGGACCAAGGTCCTTGAATTCGGAAGCAGGGTGCAGCTTATCTTCCAGGACACTGGCACAGTCAGCACTGAAAACCACCCAATTCATCTTCATGGCTACAGCTTCTATGTCGTCGGATATGGTACAGGGAATTTCAACCCACAGACTGCGAATTTTAACTTGGTTGATCCACCTTATATGAACACAATTGGAGTCCCTGTAGGAGGATGGGCAGCTATTCGATTTGTTGCTGACAATCCTGGTACTATACTTTCTGTGTCTCTCTTTTTTTACCAAAAAATATTACGACTCAAATTGGTATATCGTTGTTAATTAAATATAATTGGATTCTCCTGTCATATTCAGGGGTTTGGTTTATGCATTGCCACTTAGACTTACACCAGTCATGGGGATTAGGTGCGGTGTTGATAGTGGAGAATGGGAAAGGAGAGATGGAGACTCTACCTCATCCTCCTGCAGACCTTCCCCGGTGCTAGCGCCGTTGGATTTGAATAAACGGGACGAAACGGATTGCTGTGATCTTTCTGATCAAGGATTCTTTTTGGCGCAAGTGTGTTATATGCCCTTCTCCATTTCTTTTAGATCTTCAAATTGTGTATGTAAAGAAGTAAAGATTGGAGGAATAAAACTGCAAATTTCTTTTCCTTCCTTTTCCTTTAGCTCTGACTCTTTGGGTTGTGGATTATCATTTCCACAGTATTGGCCTACCCCAAGATAGATTCATTCAGCTATCCTAGGATATAATAGTAATAAAATTGAACAAACTACTAGGTCAACCACCATATTAAAATGCAAACTTTAGTTGCTTTTAATCGAAAAGCGTAGGAGAAAGGAGTTCTTTTATCGCAAGAAAAAACACCAAAAAGCAAAACCAGCTTCGGTTATTCACCCTGTTTGGGGAGAGCGGAAAGACAGTACTCGCAAGCCGGCTGGCCTGGCCATATTAACTAGCCTAGTTGTATCTGTTCTGCTAAATTGGGGGACAGGGCCTTCCTTTGAGCCTTGGATGGACATAGTAAGAGGCTCAATCCTCCCGAGTGTTGGCCTTTGGTTACCCAGAAAAGTTTGGGTAATGGAATGACAGAAGGCAAGGGTCCAGAACTCCATGGAATACAATTCGTATTCCCCACAGGATCCCTTGGGAGAAAACAGTGTTCTGATATTTGTTTAGGAGCCAGGAAAGTACGTTGTTGCAAATTATTAACGGATTCATGAATTGCAATCCCAAGCTCATGAAAATCCCCATAGATCTATTCATTTCCCTACAATATGAATATACACAATTTTTTTAGAGGAAAATGTGGAAAACATGTCTACGGAAGGCTCTATTGATGAAAATTAATAAATTGATAAGAAGTGCTTGTGTAATAACGAGGGCAAGCAACTAAGAATCAATATTCAAACACAACTTACATTGCTAGAACCGCCCATCTGCAGATTGTAAGGTCAAAAGAACTGAGCTGAAAGTAGATGGAGCGCATGAAAAGGATGATGGTAAATGCCTGTCACCAGGGTTCATAAGATCCTAAACTGTATTAGATGAATAATAATAAAAGATCACCATATCTCAAGAGGGATTGGGGTGTACCTTAAAAAGACACAGCTTGCATTTGTCCATTCATTTAAATCAAACCATTTAGGAGCTCATCTGACTGACCGCTACGATGCTCAGCACTCAGCAGCATCATTTCCTGATGGATGGGCTTTCAGGGTAAAAATGGAACAAAAATCGCCTACCTGGGATTTTAAGCATAATAATCCACCAAATCAAACTGTGTAACGTTAAACATTTTGAAACAAGCAGCATTGAGTAACGTTTATCTGAGATGCTTTAGATATAGGAGAGTCAAATACTAGGCAGGAGTTATATATGCGTCATTCAACAATTTAAATCCGTTTTCAGTAACGCATGTACTACTCTGGCTTTGAGTGCAGTACAATAACTGGAAGTACAATAGTTGGCACTTAGCATGAGCACATTGTAAATTATAGGATCCAAAATTTCAACAGTTTTCTATGCAAGCGGGTTTTATCTATAATAAGTTAAGCAATGCAGGATGCAAACAAGGGTAGGAACATCAATTCATAATAAATAAATATATGTAACTAATGGCTTAGTAACAGCCCAACTAATACAGCCACACGGGTTCAATGGAACACACCGAAAGTAAACTTTTGAATACAACATGTCAATGAGGCAGAGTACATCTTAAGGGAGTCCTGAGAGGGATTCAAATTTCAACCCAAACAAAGCCTGAAGATACTCCTGACCGTACTATATATATAAAAAAAAAAACAGCCCACGATACTCTGAAAGAGGAAAGTAATCCACGACTTAAGTCCTTATTTAGCAAGACCGGTGCGATCACCTCTCATAAACAAAAGCATCACTTTCAGAAGATAGGGTACATGAAGAAAGAGTATTAAGAAAGTGGAATTTCTTGTCTAAACAGCAGAAGATTATCCTATCCCTTTCATAGAAAGGCCTCTAGCTCAATTAGTATTCCATAATGTTGAAACAATTGCTCATTGCCCATTTCAGCGTCTTAAATGTATGTAACAGATACACAGGCCCTAGAAAAAGCAGATTTTTTTTTTAATTTATTTATATCTTAAAAATAAAAATCAGATCAAACAAAAATTTTAAAAAAACTCTTAAAAAAATAAACAGTTTTTTTTAAAGAATAAAATTTTGAAAAAAAAAAGTTTTAGAAAAAGCTCCAGGAGGAGCTTTCTCTCTCTTTTTTTTTAAACATGCTTTTTTTTAGAAAATTTTTTTGTTTCAAAAATATCCTCATCCATTAAAAATAATTCCAACATTATTTATTTTCATTTTTGTAAAATTTATTATTAATTATAAATTTTATGTTATATAAAAATACTTTTTATAAAAAAAATTACAATTAACTTTTTTGCATTATGAATAAAAGAATTTGTGATTAATAAAAATTTATTTATTAAATATCATTTATGGTAATTTTAATTAAAATTAAAACTTACATAAATTATTTTATCAAACAACTTATTCATAAAAAAGAACTTATAAAAGTAAATTTACCAAATAAATTTAACTTAATTTTAAAAACTATTATTTTTCATAGCAAAAAGAAAACTAGACCAAACAGGTACTAATACTGATTTCGAGAGCTCAACTGCATCCAATTGCATGTGTAACAGTTAACAGTTTGTACAAGACTTCATTCCAAGAAAATAACAAACTATAGTGTAACCAAAGATGCTTTACTGGAAGATACAGATTCAAGGGCTTTAAATAGGAATGCAGATCCAGTAAACAGTTTTTAGTACGTTTTCATTTGGAAATAGTCACAAGTCCTTTCGCATGATCCATACTTTGTCCTCAACAAAAGTAGTAAAAGAAAGAAAATTTATGAAATATCTAAAATCAACTACAGGAGAGAATAATAAAGTATACAACAGATTAATAGGTTTCTTCAAGATCAATCACACCAGATCAGTTAAATGGTTAGAAGATGTCAATGTGTGTTCATACTATGGTTTTAGAAATAGAAAACAGAAATTATGGGTTGATTCTCTCTGACGTCCAGCTTTTCAGTCCATTCAGACCTAGTGTGGATATAAACTTAAGCCTCTGGTTACTCTTCAAATTTAAATAATCAACCTGCAAATTATATGATAAATTCTAAAATTAACATCAAAACAATCAAATGAAGAAAGGAATATAGCTCCCTATCCCCTGCCTATTTCTACCTCAGAATTCCCCCTTTTCAGAATTTTAAAGGAAAGTAACTGTAAACAAGATATTAAACCTGATCAGGATCAAGAACCAGCAGACAAAATGCACCAACTGGGCCTGTTGAAGGATCTAAAGCAATTTCCTGATTAGGGTGCTCACTTATGCAGGGGAAACCTGGAATTGGTCCCAAGTATTGTAGCCTTGATTTAACAGAACTAGCAAACCAAGATTTCTCCCTTTGCTGCAATATGAATATAAACTGGATGAGGAAGACATGAAGGATATCCCAATAAGTGACATCACAAACTCTAATTTTCCTTTCCTTCCTTTTTTCCCCCATCTTGAGAGAGTTTGAAGCAATTAAAGCACGGACAGGCTATAAGTTAGTAAAACAATTACCTTTTCTAGAGGAGAATGCGAATGTACATAACAACTCATTTGAAATATTGTTATGCATTATTTAAATGTAAGCTACTGTAAGGATGGGAATACCAAATGTTGAGTTTTGGATCTAACATACTCAAAACAACTAAAGCCTAAAGCTTCAGCTATCATGAAATAAGCCACAAATTGTATTTAAAATGTTATTTCTGTTAGTAACAAAAGAATTGTGCTATTGTGGCTTATAGATTAGCAACCAAACCAAATGATAATTCTATTCAATGGGAATACATTTGGTAATTATGTTCTATTAATGTTAACCACTATCACCATGCAATGAAACTTATTGGATAAATTGTTCATTCTGGTAACTTCAGCAAACCACCATAGTCCTAAGTCACTAATATTAACAATAAAAATCAGTTCATATAATGTACTCAAAATTGGGTTGATTCTTATCCAACCTGAAGTTTCAGAGTATCAGGATTGGATCCATCAATAACATCAATTCTTCCACTGATTCGAAACTGCTCCCAAGAATCAGTAAAGTACCAACATATCTGCAACCAAGAAAGAAAACCCAATTTATATATACGCATTAAGGAAAGAATTACATAAGATTTTTAAAAAAAAAGCTTCAACAGTAAATCCCTATGCTAATTACAAGTACACATTCGAACATAAGAACAAAACAGGGTTTTAAAATAATGGGGTATACCTCAAACAAAATTTACCTCAGCAAAAGGGCAATGTTTCAGTTCTTCTATCTGCAAAATTTCGAATCAAGTCCAACAAATAAGGTTTTACACAACTACCGCAATAAGAAATTTATCCCAAAATGAAAAAAAAAAAAAACCCATTTCAACAAAATTTCAATAGAAGAAAAGGTCAGTGTGAGAATTGCAAGAGTCTTGAAAAAGGGGAATAATTAAATATAGGAACCTTGTGACTCCTGCCATCAGTATTAATTTGGAACTTGTCACTGTTCTCTTGGAATCCTCTGTAAATTCAAGCAAAACACTTTCAATTCCAAACAAAAATTAGAATCCACAAGCATTTGCACACAGATTAGTCAATAGGGTACCTAAAAACCACGGTGCGATTCGAGGGTCTTCCATTAGATCCAATTGTTGCCTAAAACAGTAAGTAAAAAGAAAAACAACGGTAACTAATGATTCTTCAAAAATTTAACCACTAAAAAAAATTAAAGGAAAAATGAAGAGGAGAAAGTCTAACGAGTTGAAAGAAGGAAGAGTGTTTGATATGGGAATTGGATTCCAAAGCGTTGAGAAGAAGCGGCTTCCATGGGGTTGTTACTGTTCCCATTCGCTTCCTTTTTCCGTTGTACCGTTACTCCCCGCGAGAACTCTCTCATCTATCCGAGTAAGATTGTAATACTTATAAGCCAAACTGAAGCCTGATTTTTGTTTCCAGTTGGGCCATACTTTGGGCCTCAGAACGTTATTCCACCGAAGTTGGGCCCGAGCCCGTTGATGAATAGCTTAGGCTAAGAATAAACTAGTAATTTAGAAATATGAAAAAGAAAAGAACAATAATTAATCAAATTTTACATTATTGTATCCATAACTTATTTTGGTAATTTTATATTTCCTTATTATAATTTTCCAATTATAAGTTTTTTTCTTCTTTTTCTGTTTTCTGTTTGGATGTTAGGCCATTTAAAAACATTTTAAATTTTCTTTACTATTTTTATACATATTATTAGAATATATTTATAATATTTGTACATGCATAGGATGTAAAGGTTTTTGCACATATTTTATGTATAGAATAATAAATAATTGGTTGATGAATTCATTTTTCTCAATGTTAAAAAATAAGAAAGGGTAAATTTAACTTTTCTCGGATGTCACTTTTAAAATTTCTTTTATCACAATTAATATGCTTTAGATATCTTTTTCTAATTAAATGGCATAACTTCTATTCTCACATGAGATTAAACTATTAATTTTACCCAATAAAATTATAAAAATGTTTTCCATTCAAATTTAACTTATTTATTCACATTTAATAGTTTAACGCTTTGTGAGAGTAAAAATTTTCCATATACTTTTTTTAATGAAAAAATAAAGATATATTCGAGATATTAATTGAAAAAAGATCTATAAACATGGGGATGGCAACCAATTAGCCTGGAATCACTCGCTGTCACATTGTTTATTTCAAATTACCATCTCAGGCATCTTACATTGTACCAAAACTTATTACTTGTAAAAAAAAAAAATGGAAGCATCTAACGGTCAAAAATCAAGTGGTAGAGACCTAACAAAATCACTTTCATTTATTTATTTATTTATTTATCTTGATTCGACCTAACAAAATCACTCTCATTTATTTATTTATCTTATTTTGACCTAACAAAATCACTAGACGTAAAAATGAAGTGTATTTCTCATCCTTTCTAAGCAACCCAATGCTAATAGTGTTAGTTAAAAATTATTTTCTATTTCGCAATGGGATTTGGGTCTGCCCCTAAAATATCATTGGTAAGGGGTAATTTTGTTTTTGTCCATGGAAAAGATGCTGCTTGTAGACCCAAATTCTCCAGAACTGGTTTACCAACTTAATTATTATGTGAACCTTAAGTATAGTACTAGTATATACATATATCATTGAAACAAAACTATACAGTTTGAGAAGAAGGTACACCTGAACTTAGCAAGACACCAGCTAACAAAGCACTAGAACTATATAAAAAAGAACCCTTGGAATGTATTCACATTCTTTGTTTTTTTTTTTTTTTGCATAATTTTGGAATATTCACTTTTCAATTTATACATTTTTTTAAGCTTATTCTTATAAATGATGATAAATCGATCATCATCAGGAGTGGCTCAATATCTTTAAAAGCCTAAAGCATTTAAATATTTAAATGGTGTCATTTTTATTAAAATTAAAAAAAATTATCATTAGTTGGAAATCATTAAAAACATTTTTTGTTCATTAAATAAGAAAAATAATTAAAAAATATTAATATTATAGAAATTGAAAAGTGATAAAAAATATAAATTCATTAGGTACATAATTGAAAAATTAAAAAAATATGTAATTTTATTAATTATTTTGACGTTTGTATAAGTGAAGAAGTGGGATAAATAATTAAAAATTAATAAAAGGTAAGAAGTGAGAGAAAATAAATATTTAATTAAAAATATTTTATTAATTATTTAATTTTTTTATATTTTTAATATAATTAATTATATTATATATAATTAGGGACCTATAGAATTATGAGACCTAAACAAAAGTTTTGGTGGCTTTATGGTAAAGCTGGCCCTGGTAGTTTGAGAAGAAGGTACACCTAAACATGACAAGACACCAACTAACAATAAAAAAGAATCTTTGGAATATATATATATCACTTTCTATTCTCTTTTTTTGAATAAGTTTGGAATATTTACTTTTCAATTCATATATTTTTTTAAACCTCATTTTTATGAATTACAATAAATCATTTTTATACTCCCTTTGTCCTATTTTGTTTATCCTTTATTGATTTTATATATATATATATATATTCACTTTTTATTTTCTTTTTTTGCATAAGTTTGGAATATTTACTTTTCAATTCTTATATTTTTTTAAAGCTGGTTTTTATGAATTACAATAAATCAATGTTATACTCCCTTTGTCCTATTTTGTTTATCCTTTATTGATTTTTTTGATTAAATTAATTCAATTTTGATTATTTTTATAAAAAATATTATATAAAATTAAAATCTCAAAAAATATATATTGAAAAGTTTGAAATTCAAAATTTGTAAAATTTTATTTTTAAAATTTTTATAATTTTATTAAAAATAATTGCTAAAATTAAGTTTGTTTGACCAAACAAAATCAATAAGGGACAAATAAAATGGGACAGAGGGAGCAATTAGCATGGAGGGTTTTTTTAATTAACTTTTACATCAAAATAAAATTTTTATTTATTGTGTTGAAAATGTAAAAAATGCAAATACTAAAATCACCATTACATTACTCCTATTGAGCTTTAATTAAAATTCTATATAATTAATGTCGTTGTCAACAGGAAGCTAATTGCATTATTTTTGAGGCCATGGTCTTTCTAATAATTTTCTTAAATAATTAGTCTAAGTTTCAAAGTGAGAATTGTAGGTCGACCTCGGAGGTCACCTTCCTCCTCGCCCGCTGAAGCCGGAGCTAGGAAAATGAAACCTCATTAAAGACAAGCCCAGAGATTTACCAGTCACCATCATTTGTATTACTATAATCAATTAATTACTAAACTAATCAATTATTGAACGACCTAAAGGCTGAAACCAAGTGGGAGTACTACTCAGTATTATCAACACATGATTGAAGGAAAATTTCACTAGCCAGAAATCTGAGCCGTTAAACTTGATCATGTGTTCATTGAAATTAAACAGCATCATCATGGCAAGGGAGTAAGATTTACCGTCCAAACATTTTATTTGCTTTAATTTCAAACCCAGCTGTTGCACGGTGAAGCATCCAATCCAAGTGCTTGCAGATTAAGTTACAGAGAAAGTTAGAAGTATGTCTAGCCATATATGCCACTTTGAAATTAATTGCTCCACTCTTATTGCTTTCTTCAAGCTAAAATTATTAATTTGTTGATTTTTTTAGGTAGTTTTATTTTACAAGCATGGAGTGGAGTAACACATGATGAAATCGTGGTAGGTAACTACGACAAAGATAGCGAATAACGTGGATTCAGCAAATCCATATTTTAAAATAATAATTAATAAGTTGTATCAAACTATGATAAAAATATGAGTATATTCAAATCAAAAGGAAAATATCTTTGAGAATTTTTTATATAATTTTTTTTTATTTTTTTGTTTTACTTTTATTTTAAAAAAATCTAAAATTAAAATACTTTTTTATTTGATATCCCATACACTCGAGACTCAACTATTCAATATAAAAAAAACTGTTGTCAATGCTATGAGATCGAAACATCAGATAGTATTCATGAATGGAAAATTATTGAAACCAAAAGGAGTTAAACTCACTCAATAAGAAGTTTCGTAATAGCGTTACATATCATGACATTACTTATAACATCTAAAAAGATTTTGAAGAAAGGTTTTCACCTAAGAGAAGACTTTGAATTCAAGAACTGAAAAGAGAAATAATTAACACTAGATAAAGTAAATTGACAATTTCAACTTACTATACAAAAATCAAAAGACTTTGGGATCAACTTGAACGTTTTTTCTAATTTCATGTATAAGGATGTAGGAGCTGTATGTGTGAAGTTTTGGCTAGAGAAAAAGAATAAAATTCCATTAGTTTCTAATGGGATTAAATGATTCCTATATTGTTGTAAGATCGAATATTCTCTGTAATGATCCATTACTAATTTTAACAATTACTTATTCTTTATTGAGTTGAAAAGAGATGACGATGACAAGGCCAACTGTGGAGGCAACAGCATTGAAAGTATATATTAGAGAGAGGAATCAAGATCCAAACAACCTAAAATCTGAACAGTGTAAGAAAACTGTTTTGAGATCGTAGGATATCCGCCAAATTAGTAGGAACAGAAAAAGGACATACATTCCCAACAACAAGCACAAAGAATGATTAGCACACCTATGACGCCAGTTCTAAAAACAATACCATTAATCACATGTTATCCTATTGGTGCCTTAATTATTAAATTTAATTCATTTGTGTTTCGTTAATTATTATTTATTTTATTCTTTATTTATTAGCAAGTTAAGATATTTTATTCAATTTACGAGTATGGTCTACACATGATGCAATCATAAAATGCAAGGCATAAAATCCAGAGAATACCAAATAAAAACCTTTTATTGAAGATATTCTTTTAATCCACCTATGATATTGGTGGGATTTGAAGATATTCTCTCATTTAGGAAATTACCTAAGAAACTCGTCTTTGCAAACCTATTACGTGCGGAGACCCTTTATTAAAGATATTATTCGAGCCCTCTTATTATACTGATGGGACTCAAAGATATCCTTTCACCTAAGAAATTTTTTGAAAAAACTCACCTTCGTAAGCTCTTTCAGAAAGTCCCACCATCGAGGCTTTGATTCGTGTACACAATACGTTTATATACCATGACATTTAACAGTGCAATTATGAGGTGTAATATGCCCATAAATTTCGATATTTGTTTATTAACCTTCCTCCCACTCTTTTGTTATGACTTTGAAATTTCTTTTTATTATTGTTCTTTGTATGCATATTTATCATGGATAAATATGTTATATTTATTATTTTATTTAATTATATTTTTTATTCCATTTATTATGATTTTTTTTTACATTTAAGTATTTATCTATTTTGCTCTAAAAATTTTCCTTTTTATCTAAATACTATTTCT